AGTTTCAAAGTCCAGAACCAAGACACATTTTTCCAAATACAGTTCTGACTTGATTTCATGGGTTATTATTTAAAAATGATACTCTCCATAAAGTATCATATAAATACCCTCAAGGCTGTATAGAAACATTTTAAAGTAATAACAGCAATGGCTCCAACAACAGTGGCTCCTACCATCTATAAGGAATTTGAGGTGTGCCTGATCGTGCTTTATATGCACAAACATTTAGTCTTCACAGCACCCTGTAAGCAATATTCATTGCCAGTATTTAACAAGTAAGAGACTTGAGGCATTGCCTAGCTGGCTGGCTAAGGAAGCCCCACCCCCACCCAGAGTTGTTTTATGTTTTACTGCTGTGTTTCCCTTTCCTTCCAGCACCACTCAGTACCTGACATTCTATTTATTGTCTCCTGCCTCTATTAATGCTATCTAGGGAAAGGCTGTGCTTTAATTACTATGATATCCTGGCTTCTAAGGCAGACATGGCTGTTAATAACTGCATGTCCCATGAATGAATGAAGAGGCTTTAAAGGTTAAGCACCTTGCCAAGGTCACAGATCTGTAAGAGCAAGGGCTCAGGATGAACTCCATCTAAGTCTAGAAGGTGAGGCCCCTTTCTCTATTGTAGTTTTTATGAGGTAAAGGCCCCCCTGGATATAATCTGACTGAAACTATCATTTCGCAGATGAGGATTCTGAAACTCAAAAAAGGCGACATTACATAAATCTCAGTATCTCTCTGTGTGTCATCACGGTCCAGGCTTCCCCTGGCTGTTGTTTAATAAACCATGAAATCAAGCCACCTCAACTCATAGAAAGTGGGAAGAAATTCATATATGCATCCATCCATTGTCCACCATCTTGTTCACAGCCGAGACCCTCAACACTCCCAAGCCCCTGTCAGTTACCTCTTGGGTTGTGGTTAGTGGTGATGATTTGAGATGTCTTTGAGAAGTAGGCTGACAAGACCCACTAGGTCATTAGATGTAGGATGTGTTAAGGTCCCAAAGGCAGTGGCAAGGGACACAAGGAGGTCTTTACCTGGTTTCTTCCTGCCTCCCTGTACCCCTGGTCAACCACATGTCTTTAGTCTATCCAGGATTAACTTCTAAAATGTAAGTCAGATCCAGCAGTCTCTTGTTTAAACCATTTTAAGAAGGATTTTAAAGAAGGATTTAAAATTTTAGCGTTGCTTTTGGAGCCTCTGTGATCTGGTCCCTAACCTCCCCTCCAGGCTTGTCTTGTCTCTGCTTTCCTCTTCATAATGGAGCCCTACTCCTAGAACATCAAAACGTCCCTCTCTTCAGAACTTTATTTCCTGAGGCTCTATGAGACCTGGTTAGCAGGAACCAAGATTCCATCCTGGTTCTAGCTTGATTTCTCTGTGTCCTAAAATCAACATGTGTGGATGATGTCTTAAGCAATTAGGTCTTATCTATTTCTTGCAAGCAAGCAACAGCCAGGGCAAATGCCTATTATTTTATTTTAAATAATGCTAAAAATTTTTAAAGTATCATTACAAATCAAGCCTGAGACAAGATTCTTCAATGCCACTAGAATGGCTCTCATAAAGAAGTCAGACAATGGTGCTATGCATGAGGTTCCAGTAGAGCTGTAAAGCCATGGAGTACATGTGGATGGATGCAAAGGACTGTAAAATAAAGGAGGGGGCACGCATGGACAGAGAGGACACGGATGGACAGAGGGGACACGGATGGATAGAGTGTGCATTTTCGTACACATACCAAATGAAACCCAGTGAGTGTCATCAAGTGCTAAAGTAAACGGAAAGTAGAGCAGGGACTATAAAGAGAATGGGCAATGGCAGAAAGGGGATGAGAGGGGGTAATGGAGTTGTCATAGACAACAAACGTGTGTGTGTATGAAAAATGCTCTAACAAAACTCGTTGTGAGTATAATTAACACACACTAACAAAATTAGTCATTTAAAGTACTGATAAAGCCCCATCTTGGAAAGGCTTTGAAGAAACAAATATTTTTTAAAAAATGCGTATTACTGCATGGGTATCTAATGGGGAGTGTGTGCAGCTGCCCATGTGTGG